AACAAAAGAGTTTACTGTGAAGGCAGAGAAAGGGAAAAGAAGCCAGTGAGTACTGGCGAGACAAAGTAAAGAGGAGAGGCCGTGTTTGAACTCAAAGAGCAGCAAAAGAAAGCAGCTGACCAGCAGCGAAGGAAGTGGGAACAACACAGCCCTCCTGTGGGGCGCATCACTGCAGGGCAAGGAGAGATAAAGGCAGAATTGGCCTGGGGAAACAGAGGGGAAGGGAGGAGAGACAGAGAGAGTGAGTGAGAGAGTGAGAGAGACATAGAGAGAAACAGAGAGAGAGAGAGAGAGAGAGAGAGCCAAAGGATTCCCTGTGTAATCCAGCAAGAGCTCTTCTCACCCAGCAGTGTGAGCAGCGGTGCCAGTCGCCAACGGACAGCTCACCCTGGCAGGCAGTGTACGTGCTCCACGCTTCTCTAATGTTTCCTTTCATCTTCACAGGGACCAAGAGGGCAGAACACTCTGCTGGTTCACAGGATGAGACAGCGGGGCTCCCAGCAAGCAGCTGGGCTTGTCACCCAGGGTCACCTGCCGGCCCTGTTCCCCAACCAGTGCCAACCTGCCCAACCGCAGCCTTTGGTCCAAGGGAGGAGCTGCGTCCCGGATGGAGAAAGGTGCTTTAGCTGGACAACGTCTGACAAGAAGTCTCTGAGCCCTGCAGGTGGTCTATCCAGTCAACCACCTGAGAGGCTCAGCAACCAAGGGGGAAAGTCAGAGAAGACATCATGACAAGCTTGCTGGCAGCTGTCCAGGGCTTGCTTTCTCTGACAGAACTCACTGTACTGTAGTGGGCAGAAGAAGGAGGGCATACCTGGAGCCATTCACGGTCACTCCTGGCCGTGGATGCTGGCAATCAAGTCAGGGTCTGCCACCTGCAAAGCAAGTGCCTTGACCCCATCTAATCCATCCACTGAGGGCTTCCCTGCTGACGGGAGGTTGACAGTTCATTCATTAAGGAGGTAAACCCCTACACTCCACGCACTGTGCCCTGGAGCCCAACAGGCTTGGCAGAAGCAGCAAAGTCGAATCAATCCCCACTGGAGATGCTCCCTGGGATGGAGACTAATTAAATATCCATTTACTAAGTAAGCTGGCCTACAGGCATTAGGAAAACAACACTTGGGGCCAGAAAGATAGTCTGCTTATCTACCAGCCCTGCTCATGACCAGGTCCAACGTTCCATCCCTTGCACCTCATATGATACCTGAGCATAGAGACAAGAGTAAGCTCTGGCCCACAGAAACAAGGAAAAATGAGAAAAATGACACTCAAACATGCAGCAACTGCCAGGCCCGCTACTACTTCTCAAGTAGGGAAGCCCCTGCACAGAAGCCCACATGGAACTCAGCAAATCCTCCCTCAGCCTGAACTGAATGAGGACAGTGCAGGCAAGAGCTGGCAACACGCAAGTTTCACACAAGCTCTCTGGGTGACTCCTGGGCAGTCAGTGTTGAGGACCAGCAGCTTAACTGAGCACTGAATTGGATCAGCAGAGAGAGCTGGACGCTGGAGTCAAGCTTGGGGCACTGATGCCTCCTTGGCCTTCGAGAAATGCCCTTCGATGAAACAGCAGCTATTCCAGTTCAAAGGAACTAATCGCTTTCCAAACAGCGGGAACCTACAACAGGCTAAGAGCGGGCGACATGATCCTTACCGAACACAGGGGCAAGTCAGGGGGTGACCAAGAAGCAATCATTACTTGGGTCTCCACTGCCTGTGCAAATGCAGCTCTGCTGCTGATGGCACCCAGAAACAGGGGCACTCCCTCTCCGGCAGTCATGGCAATGAAGGGCTGGGTATGGACCCTGCTTTGTAGGAGGCTGCCACTGAGCTCCTGAAACCTGCAGAGCAAGGACAGCTGGCTGGGCTCCAACCTGCCACGGACCAGCACATCAACTACCTCTAGGAACCTCAACATTCGCACTGTAAAACCATGATCATCAAAACTGACACAAGGCAACACCATGCATCCTCTGACATAATGTGCTGAGAAATATATAATATCATCTTTCTGATATTTCTACCAAAATGCAAGCTCTGAACCCTACTAGAAAGAAATGAAAAGACAATTCACCAAACAGCTGTCCTCAAGTCTACAAAAGTCCAGGTAATGAAAACCAGAGACACAACAATAAACATGGAACATAATCCTGGAGGAATAACAAGCTCTAGGGAAGGTGTCTACAAAGTAATTTAACTGAATTAACGAATGAAACCCGAATATGGACAAGAGCTTTTGAACTAAGTGATGGCACTGAACTAAGGCTCTGTAATGAAGTAACTCTGAATGACTTTATTCTTTAAAAACAGACATTGAATATTCAGGGGTAAAGAAGAACGGTCCCTCCAAATCACCTCCAGACTGTTCACAAGAGGATAAACATACATTATGTATAGGCATATGTGGACTAAGTATAATTTTAACATAGAGAAGAAAGCAATAACTAGAGAATCTGAGTAAAAGGTTTGCAGAAATTCTTTACACTATTCTTGACATATCTTTTATTTCTGTTTGAAACTGAATCAAAATAAAGTTACTCTTCAAAATGATCTGATCATGGTAAGGAAAGACTAAGAAATCACTAGATATTCGATAAGACTAAGAAAGGATGGCTATGTGACAATGTGAGTGAAATTTCTGGATTGATTTTAGGGCCAGCAAAAGAACATTGGTGCGAAAATGGGTGAAAACAAAATTAAGTTTGAAATTCAGTTAATAGTCATGTACTGTTGCTAAGTTCTTTGTTTGGGCAAATATGCAACAGATATTTCAGAATGCTAACATGGAGGAAACTGAGCAAACGGGATGTGGAAACTCTACAACTTGTGCGATTTTTCTAAAAATCTAAAACGATTCACTTTCCTCTGCTCTCTCCACCCCCTACCCTCGCCCCAAAGACTATTCTTAGAGGAATTAAAATACACACACACACACACACACACAAACACACAGCAAAGACCACAGCCAAAGGCAGGAGCAGGGCACTGACCAAGAGCATCATCAAGGACTTCTGTCTTAGGCAGAGGTTCCTGAATACCAACCAGCCACAGCAGAATCTCAAGGGAACAGCAACCTGAACCACTCACTGAGAGTCCTGGAGCTTGGTGGATCAAGAGTACCAGGAGGGGGCTGGAGTGATAGTACAGCTGGGAGGGCGTTTGCCTTTCACGCGACTGACCCGCGTTCAATCCCTGGCATCCCATGTGGTCCCCCAAGCACTACCAAGAGTAATTCCTGACTGCAGAGCCAGGAGTAATCCCTGAGCATCGCAGGGTGTGGCCAAAAAAGCACTGCACTGTCCTCCCGTTGTTCATCGATTTGCTCGAGCGGATCCAGTAACGTCTCCATTGTGAGACTTATTGTTACTGTGTTTGGCAGATCGAATACGTCACGGGTAGCTTGCCAGGCTTTGCCGTGCAGGCGAGATACTCTCAGTAGCTTGCTGGGCTCTTCGAGCGGGGTGGAGGAATCGAACCTGGGTTGGCCCAGTCAGCAGCGTGTAAGGCAAACATCCTACCTGCTGTGCTATCATTCCAGCCCAGCCAAAAAAGAAAAAAAAAAAGAGTACCAAGAGGTTCTGATGAAGACTTAGACTGAGGCCCTGCTACTGCCTTCACTCATCACTCAGAGACTCCCTCTCCTAGCAGGCCTGAGACGTGCATTCAAATCAAACACAGACTTGCTGATTCCCAGCTGTGGGGTTGAGTCTAGACTCTCCCTTTCTGAGGAGCCCCAGGAGGTAGATCTTAGCCCAGCACACAAAGAAAACAAAGCAACAAGACAGAAGAGCATGGGTACCAGTGGGCCATCTCACTGCCAAGCAGATGTCACTGATGCCGCTTTTTATCAAGTTTCTAACAAACCCAGGCCTGACAACAGCTAATCTGCTCCAAGCAGTGCCACACGTCTCTTAAAGAAAAGTTCAATTAAGAGCGTTTCAAACAGAGTGTGAAGGACACATATGCAGCTCCGTTCCACAGGCAAAAATGCAGATCCTCCAAACTAGTGAGCCCTCATAGACCTCACACTGACAAAGGGGAGCTGGTCTGATGACACCCTTTTTTGACAACCCTAAATCTTTACCCTTTCTTACATTCAAAATCTCAACTAATTCCAGTTTCCCTTTATATGTTGTATTAACAACTATTTGCATTCCCAGGGCCATATAAGTCTTGCAGAGCCTTCAGCTACATAATAAAATCCACGCAGGAAAGAAAAAGTACAGCTCATCATAGGAAGGTACCAAGAGTTTGCATGAAATGTCGAGTTTGGGGGGCACCCTGGCTTTGAAAACCTAGCAGGCCATCTAGACTCCTTTATGACCCACTTTATGAAATCCTGTGAACAGCTTGGTGCTCAATTCTTTTTCCCTGAAACAGTGTGCTCTAGGAAAAACACAAATACCCTTCCTCAGATAATCCGCAATCAAACTGGGAGAGAGCGCCAACTAAAGCTGGGTAACACCACTGCAAAAAAAATCTTCTTGACATATTTTTATGAAGTAAATATGGACCAGACAGCATTTACACTACTAATAAGATCACCAGTGGCTGGGAGCCAAGACAGGGCCTTCTACACTAATTTCCCTAAAATGCTCTAAAGTAACAAAGCAGCAGTGCCGCGGGACGCCCCCCCAACACGCGGGCAGAGAGCAAAGGGCTCCCAAATGCTGCTCGGGCTGCTCGGGACCAGACAGAGGCATCACTCCTAAGTCCCTGGAGGGCAGACTGATCTCCATCCCCTGCACTTCTGGGGCAGCCCAGCCCATCTGCCCCCCACAAACACCCTCACGGCTCTGGGCACAAACCTTCCACGGAGCCTATCCCAGCAGAAACCCCCCAGCTCCGTACACGGAACAGAAATCAAACCACACTGCAACTGTCACTGCAGAGTCTTCCGTGGCCAGAGAGGGGGTGGGGAGGCTCTCCAGAGACTGGGAAGCTCCCAGGCGGGAATGGAAAGTGAGGGACACCCACATGGCCACCCAGACACTGACCTGGTCGATCTCCATGAGTTTGGGGTAGGCGCCCGGCCACTCGATGGCAACCTTGACGATGTCCGCGGGGGGTGGCATTGTGACCCCAGGGGAGGGCCACAGCGGGCGGCTCCGGGCTCCTCAGGCGCAGAACGTTGCACGTGTCTGTACCTAAGAGGGAATGACAAAAAGAGAAAGAAAAGTCACTCAAGGCAGGACGGCATTTGCTTCATCACTTCCTGTTTTCACTGGTGGTTGAGGTACAAAAAAAAAAAAACGGTTCTGGGTATAGAAGAGCGAGGGCGTGCCGGCAGGCCTGGAAGCGCGGGAAGGGAAGGGGGCCCCACCAGCTTCTCACCACCCCACACAAGGGCAGGTGTGTCCTGGGCAAAGCACGGCAACCCTCACCAGCCCGCCCCGCGTCCAGCTCTGCGTCCTCTGTCCACAAAGCACATCCACTGCTCTGCTCAACGGTCGCCTCCGGAAGGACAGATTGCCCAGGAAGTCACGTCAGGAAGCAGCATTGCTTTCAGGCCGTCTGTGTGCCGCAAACAGGGCTCTGCTCTATGGCAACCAGCATGGCTGAGGAAGCTCACACTTGCGCGCGTGCACACACACACACACACACACACAGTCACATACGCTCAGTCACACATACTCAGTCACCTGTACACAGACTCACACACACATACTCACTTGTATAGACACACACATGCAGTCACGCACTCACATGTACACACATAGTCACCCTCAGTCACACTCACACTCTAAGTCACACGCCCTCACTTGTACACACAGTCATACACAAGCCACTCACACAGTCACTCACATATAAACACATGCACATACTCTGTCACACGTATTCACACACAGTCACACATACTCATATACACACACTTTAGTCACACACACTCAGATGTACACACTCAGTCAAACATGCATACATACTCATACTCATTCACACCAGCATGCACTCAGTCACAGACTCACATACACATAGTCACTCTCATTCACACACAGCCACACACTCAATTCACACATATACTTAATCATACACTCATACTCACTTTACTCACACAGTCACATACATTCACATGAGCACACACTCCAACACATACCACACACAGACACATACACTCCCTCCCTCCCCAAAGCCAGTGCACACAATGGACCTTCCCAAAAGAGAAGATTAAACCAGTGTGGCTCCTGGGGCACTTACAAAGGACAGTGACTTCTCAGAATCCAGAGTGCAACTTAGGGAAAGGAAGGATAATTACTCTGTACTGCAGCTCCCAAACAAGCCCATTTCCTTTGGGACAACTTTTATAAATAAGTATTTTCAAACAGGCCAAACATTCACATGATCTAGAACTTGATCGTGTGTATTTTATACATGTGTATTTATGTGAAAAAATACCATGTTGAGAAACTCCTTCCGCTCTAAATCACATTCCCACTCAAACTACATTTACTCTATGCTGCCGGATAGCATATTGATAGCTTTTCCTATTTCTCTCCAGAATTCTTTCATGTTTTCAGGGAAATGCAAAAACAGATTACAGTCACCCCTTTCTTTATTAAAAAAAAAGCAGCATTCTATACCCTGTTTTTACAATTTCCTGCATCTTCTGAGCTGGAGCGATAGTACAGCAAGTAGGGCATTCATGTTGCATGTGGCTGACCTGGATTCAAAACCACATATGGTGGCCCGAGCCCCATTAGGAGCGATCCCTGATCTGCAGTATAAAGCACCAAATGGCAAGGGTGTACAGGTCCAATTTTACAACAGATTGACAAGCTAAATTGCTGGATCAAACACGAATGGTTTTAGTTTCTGAGAAGCAATTCCAAAGGTCCGTCTCATGACTCCCCACATTCCCTGAACAACGGATGAGGCTACCTGTCCATGCACTCCTCACTAATGGAATGAATTCCCCAAACCCTGTGCCTGCCGAAGCATGGATGGCTGTGCCATTCTAACTCCTGTTGTGGGGTTGAACAGGAAGAGAAAAAAAAAAGCCTCCTGGGCACTTTTCCTATGAACTACCCAAATAGTTTTCCTCTTTTATACCCTCTTTTATACTTTGATATTTGTTAATAAGTAGATCTCTGTGTGAAGATCTGAATCAAACATTTGGTGTTTGGTTCTTATCAAACTAGCAGGCCTTGTCCGCAGCCACCCTATCTCTGGGGCTCTCTCTCAGAGATAGCAGAGTCATCAATGGGAGTCTCAAAGTACTCATTTGCATAAGTAACTAACTTTATCAGAGTTGACAAGCAAAGGATTTTTTCCTTTTCTGTTTTACTTTTTTTGTTTTGGAGGCCACACCCAGCCGTGCTACTCCTGGCTCTGTGCTCAAGGATCCCTCCTGGTGGGGCCAGGAGATCAAATCTGGGGCTGGGGATGGAAAAAGCCTAGCAAGGTGAAGGGCAACGCCTGCCCACTGAACCGTCACCCCAGGCCCCTGACAAGCAAAGGAAATGGATCAGAAACAAACAAGGCAAAAATAAGATAAAGCAAAGAGAGCATAGCACGACACTGCCATAGCCATGCCACCAGACCCCTCCACAGGCAGTTTCATTCTGGGTGCCCCGGAGGGGGCCGATGAGGTCCCTCCCTGCCTCAAGGGACCCAGCCCCAGCAGCCAAAAACCTCCAGAATTCAACTGCCGCCACAGTCACGAATGCTCTCCATATGCTCAGGCCGAGCCTCACTCATGAGTAAACCTATTCCCGGACATCTCATACCTCACACCACTCATACTCCAAGAGTAGCACACCACATTTAATGGGGGTTAAAGTAGAAGGCAATCAATCTTAGAGGGAAATATATTTTTACATATATATGTATATATAAGCATAAAAGGTCAACCCTTAACAACATATTAGTAATCTCTTATAGAAGGACTTAATGGCCCCTGGGTGAAATACAACAGTTTTCACATACTCTCCTCTAAGGAAAGTTTTTTTTTTTTTGGAGCATTTTCAGAACTTTATTCATAACAAACAATAGAAAATAAAATATTTCTGTTCACTTTGGGGCAAAGGTTGTGGGGTTCTGGATGGAAATATCCAAATGTGTTGGGAAGGTGTAATGGTGGTGGGATTGGCGTTCTAATACTAAATGTAATCAAATATTGTGAACTACTTTATAAAATTATTATAAAACTGAAAAGAAAAAGAATTTTTCTTTTTTAGAAACACAGTCTGTGCCAGAATAACTCCATAGACTTACATCAGCATGGTCTTGATTTTTAACAAGCTTAATGTTGTTTAGACTCTTAAATGTTGCATTGTTTTTGAAACTGTTATTCTGATTAAATGTGGTGTGGTTAAGTAATGCTTTATAAAAATTTTTATGAAAGCTTTGTGAAAATTTTTAAGGTTACAAGAATTGAACCTTTAAGAATAACTGAAAAGGAATTAGAATTTTCCATCAGAATAAATTATCAAAGATGAGTCTAAATTTACCAAAAAGAAAAATGACTAAGCAAAGCCAAAAACCCTACTGTTCCTTTGACCACGAGTGAGGAGAGATGCCTGGTTCGAAGCTAGTAAGTGTAAGAACCATAAACCAAACAGGGATGCAGTCACTGGACAAACATTCATTGAGCCAGACTCAGCACCAAGCTTGGTCTACAGACGCTGAAGATACAACAGCAAACCTAAACTGGAAACTCAAGAGTCTAATTTTCCAGAAACCACTTTGGCAAAGTATCAAGAACCTTACAATTTTGCATTCTCTTGGAACCATTTTATCTTTCTAGGATGGTATTCTAATTTTCAAGAAAGAATTATTCAGTTAACCACAGCAATGCCAAGTGCTACTTTTTAAGTAAATCCCCAGACTTGAACAAAACCAAACATTCAGTAACAGGAACTTGCTAACTAATTATAGCCTCTTAAGTGCAACTGAAGCAAAATAGCTTCTGCATAGTCTGTACAATCAGTCACTTGCTCATCCACTTGAAAATCCTAAGTGCAGAGTATTAATTATATCAATCTGAGAGTAAGTTCTACACCAAAGTGAAACTTCAGAAGTCAGGCTAGCACTGGAAAGCCAGCTCAGGAGAGTAACATTTTTCAAAACAAAAATACACAATGCTGGGGGTGAAGAGCACAGATATTACCCATCAAAACACATGCTGAGTCCAGGCCTCACCCCCAGCCCCACCTCCAGCACATACACACACCCTTACAAAAAACAGTCTAGAATTACACCAGAGGTTGACTAACCTTCCAAGAATCAAAGGCCAGGCTAGCTTCTCTTCCTCCCAATCTGGTATTTATTTTTCAAAGGCTGTGCGGGCAGTACCTGTCGAGCAGGTGAGAACACTATAATGTGGCTTTCCAGGCTGGCCTCTCCATGCAGAGTAAGAGAATAGGATACCAGAGTGCACAAAGCAACCACTGAGAGCAGGCAGCCCCCCCCACCCCCCGGGAATGCTTGCCCAGCGGGCAGCCAGCTCATCTGTTCCCCTGAACAAAGAAACAGCCAGGAACAGCCAGGAACAGCCAGGCGCCACCTGGAGCGGTCAGGTGCAGAATGAAGAATATGCTCCACACCGCAGTCCTCGTATGTCAGCATTTAGCCTCTTGAATTTATATTTCCAAGAGGGAACACTTAGTTCCCCAGGAACTGTAGTCACTGTTGTTGGTAATGAAATTTATGGAAGGAAGTTTCTAGTTCAGGTCTGTGAATTAGCATCTGGAGTCACTGTCCCATGTAGGGGGGCAGGGGCAGGAGGGAGGCAGCCCCATGTGCTGTAGGAGAGTGAACAGCATCCTCAGACTCAACCCACTGAAAGTCAGGAAACCACCCCCCCACCACCACCACCAAACTCCACTGTCAGATATGTCTCCAAATACTGCCAACTTGGCCTTGGAGGGGTGGAGTTCCCTTGGGTTAAACTGAACTGTCAAGAAGATGTTTGGGCAGAACCGTGGTCAGTAACAAACCCCCAGCCCCATCCCATAGCTCACACAAGCCATGGAGTGTTTCCAGTTCATCAGGCTCACTGCAAAATATCCACACACACATGCCCAAGATCTGACCAGATATACCCAAGATAAAAATTCATTTGGAGCCAGAGAGCTAAGCACATACTTTACAGGGAAGAAGCCCGGTTCCATCTCTGGCACTGCCAGGAAC